AGACGACGATTGCTCCGATTCGGGCTCGCCGCCGCAATTCAGCTCTTATCCTAAAACCTATGCAGACTTTTATACGGAGTCCCACCAAAAAACGTACCAAGAGCCGGTCTACGAGTCGTACCCGGAGACAAAGTCCTTTCCTAACTCTTTCCCAGAGCCCCTCAAGACCTCCTACCCCGAGTTGCACAGAGAACCTCGCAGGCAATCTGGTTGGAGGACAGAGTCTAAAGAGGCCCAGCAGGAGACCCCCTTTAACAGCCATAGACAGGAGAATGTACAAAAAGGGGCTCCATCCTCCCCCACCAAGAGCTCCCATTATGCCCAAAGGCAGGGCAGAGCTTCCCATCACCCCCCTCTGGACCGCTCGGTCGGGTGCCGCCTGCACCACTACGACGGGCAGTCCGACGTTGAGGGGGAGGGCGCCGATCAAAGTCCTCTGCCCAAAAGTCGCAGGCAAACCCCCAGACAAGCAGAATCCCAGGCCAAGAGCCCCTCGTCTGGGCAGAGCAGCTCGGGGGAGACCCAGGAGGAGAGGAATGCGGTGGGGGTGGGTCTCCAAGGGGAAGAAGTTACGAGGGCATCGGGAGACGCCATTACCCTGGCGATTAAAGACATCAAGGAGGCGATTGAGGAGGTGAAGACGAAGGTGCTGCGCTCCCCCTACACACCTGACCGCCCCGTGGAGCCCATCTGGGTGATGAGGCAGGAGGTCAGCCCCACAGAGGAGGGGTACCCACTGCAGACTGCAGCTGGACATGTGAGTGTGACTTCACTTAAGGCTTACTCTTTTTGGTTTAATAGAATATATCTCCCAAAGGACGCAGCAATATATTCTGAGACTGTTACCATTTCTGGTGTTTAACTTGATTGTTGAAAATACATTTCTATGATTTTAGGGAATATGCTCATTTGCCTTCTTCCTAGTAGTGAAATGGGAATTGATAAATTGTTATGTCTCTGCGTTATGAGTGCAAAGGACGTTTTTTGCCTAGCTTGGCGTGAAGTCTTCTCTCTAAAGTTTAAACATAGGCTTACAAACAACTCTTCTTTTTTTTCTTGTTTTTATTTCTTGTTTATTTAACACATTTTTTTGGAGTTAAACTAATATCAAGATGTTTTTCTTGATATGTCTTAGTGCCATTTCGTTTTCTCTTTCGAAGTGTTGTACTATACCTTTAAGGCTGCATACGAGTGACATTGCAGAGTTTTGTCCTGCAGTGTTGCAGTAATTCAATTAGAGTGAAATGCTTCCGGGAAGTTTTACAACATGACTTACATCCCTGCTCTCATTTCATCGTGTGTTGGATTAATGCCCACATTCTGAATAACGTATAGTCAGAATAAGATGTCTGCTGAGCTGCTGTAAATGCATGAAGTCATTTCTATTATCTTTTTGTTTCCCTCTCTCAGTCTTCCCCTCACTCCCCTGCTCAGTCGTTGTCTGAGTCTCCGTCCCGCTTTGTTCCAGTTCGGGAACCGGCCAGTCCACCGAGGGCCGAGTCCTCCAGAGCTCCTCCTCCTCAACAGTACCACCAACCGCCCCCCCAACAACACAACCACCACCAAGCCCACCTCTCACAGCAGAGGGACACCGCCAGGCCGCCGCAGACACACACACAGCCTCAACCGTACCAACATGCGGCGCCCAATCAGCTTCACCATCGGCAACATCAGCACCAACAACAGACTCCACATCAACCGCAGCTTCCGGCTCAGCGGCCGCGACCTCAAGTTCAGCCACAGTCGCCTTTACAGCAGCCAACGGTCCAGGAGGTGAACAAACAAACTTAAATCCATAAAAACTTAAGAGAAAATCGTCTTATAACTCAAGAGCTTGCTTTTGCTTCAAGTTTTCCTCAATTTCTAAGTAATTGAGGAACAGTGGTGGGCAAATGCATTGTTTGTTGCAATCAGGAACCTTTGATAACTCAATTAGTGTACTTTTACTTAAATCAGAAATTATTTGTATTTGTCCCCGAGCAGGGACATTTGCATTGTTACAGCAAAGGAGACTAAATAGAATAAATAGACATGTAAAATAAAGAGGCAAGAATAAGTACATTTTTACACCACCTAGTGTTATTTCACAACCTTGCTGAGAATGTGCAGAAGGTAATCCAATACAGGCGTGCAAACACTGGTAGACCACTACGTAACGCACTGAATCCATGGCAACATGAATGATAAATCCTCTAAAGGCGGGCATCTTTTATAAAGTGTTTATCCGCCAGCAGCTAAATGGCTGACAGCAGTAGAAGTCTTGCAGAATGTAAATGAGTTGGGAGAGACCTGCAGTATGTGAGTGGAAATAAAAGCATCATAATGTAGTGTTTCCTTTTTCTGCCTCCAGCTACGCAGATCTCTTCCTTCATTTCCAACGTTTGTGGATGGTGAGTGGATAATTAACTATTGTAGATGTTTAGTTTAGTTTTGCAAGTTCATTTTCACATTTTCACTCTTTTATATTCATGAAGTGTGTTCAGTGTTGCTTGTATGTTTATGCATGTGCCTCATGAGTGTTTTTGTCTCATGCAGTCCCGGGGCCATGTGACCCAGACGACCTTATTGACGGCATCATCTTCGCAGCGACCTACCTGGGCTGCACCCACCTGCTGTCGGAGAGGACGCCCACGAAGAGCGCCCGCATGCAGCAGGCACAGGAGGCCATGAACAGAGTGCGGGTGAGAGACAACTACACCTTATTATATTTATATATATTTCATCCTGCAGGAACAACAGGGATTCTGTGGGTAGCTGCGTCCAAAATCACTCCATTGTCCAACCAGATTTCATAGCAGCTATTTGTCCTTAAACCAAAACACAAAAAATCAAACTCAAAATGCCACAGATGATCGAGATAAGATAAGATGGACCTTTATTAATCTCCGTGGGGAAATTCAGTAGTTTAACAGCAACAGGGTGAGATTGAAAAACAGGACAGCACAGATTAATAAAAATCAAAGATTAAAATGATAAAATAACTATAAGATAAGAAATGAATTAAAATGAACATATTTACATATTTGGTCATGTGTACATATTATTTCCATGTGTGTGTGAAAACAGTGCGTATTTTAGGTAGTGAATCATATGCAGGATCAAATCCATTATCCAGGCGAGAATTTCCTTTATATATATTTTTTTCTCTAGTGTTCCACTTTGCAGGTGAAGTGTCACTTGAGTAATGTTTTCCTTCTATAAATTGCATTTATTTTTCTGATTCTTTGCAGAGAGTACAAATCATGCCATGAACTTTAACTCTCTTGTGCTGTTGAAGGAATATTTGAGGGCAGTAGTGTATCAAATTCACAGTGACAATTAAACGAAAGGTGGAGAAAACATTCTAAATATAGCGTACGTACACTTAACTGATGTTCAAGCACCTCATATTACCCCACTTTAAAATATGCAAACCCTCCCTTTAAACCGTGTTAAACTGTGTATTAAGGATGGCTTTTTGAATAAATATCAGTGCTTGAAATAGATATGAAGGAGCTGAGAGGTCCATTTTCTCAGCTCCTCTCTTTAAAGATACATTTTCCAGCACGCCTGGGCACATCAGCAGTGATGTAACCGAGGACTCTTTAAGTCACAAACCCTCAGCAGGCAGCCGGCGGGCGAGGAGTCCCCGGGTCGTACACAATGCATCATCCTCACTTCACTTCCCCTGATCCTCACAGTCAGACAGCACTCCTCTAGCTCCTCTGGATGTTATGTAAAATGCTGATCATGGCTGTGAGGCTCCAGTCTCAGTGTATAAGGTCTCACATAGCATGCAAAGGGAACACACTAAGCATATAGATAGATAGATATATAGATAGATAGATAGATAGATAGATAGATAGATAGATAGATAGATAGATAGATAGATAGATAGAGAGATAGATAGATAGATAGAGAGAGAGATAGAGAGAGAGATAGATACAGACACATAGATAGATACATAGATAGATAGACACATAGATAGATAGATAGATAGATAGATAGATAGATAGATAGATAGATAGAGAGATACATAGAGAGAGAAATAGATAGATAGATAGATACATAGATAGAGGGAGAGATAGATAGAGAGATAAATAGATACATAGAGAGAGATAGATACATAGATAGATAGACACATAGATAGATACATATATAGATAGAGAGATACATAGAGAGAGAGATAGATAGAGAGAGAGAGAGATAGAGAGAGAGATATATAGAGAGATACATAGAGAGAGAGATAGATAGATAGATACATAGATAGATAGAGAGATACATAGAGAGAGATATAGATAGAGAGATACATAGAGAGAGAGATAGATAGATAGAGAGATACATAGAGAGATACATAGAGAGATAGATACATAGATAGAGAGATAGATAGATATATAGAGAGAGAGAGAGATAGATAGATAAATAGATAGAGAGATAGATAGATAGATACATAGATAGATAGAGAGATAGATAGATAGATAGATACATAGATACATAGATAGATACATAGATAGATAGAGAGATAGATAGATACATAGAGAGATACATAGAGAGAGAGATAGAGAGATACATAGAGAGATAAATACATAGATAGAGAGATAGATAGATAGATAGAGAGAGAGAGAGAGAGATAGATAGAGAGAGAACGAGAGAGAGAGAGAACGAGAGGGAGGGAGGCTTATGCATGTGTGTTTTGGCAGGGGGGCGGTAGTGTTAGGGAGGGGCGGAGGCAGTTTGCTGAGGTCAGAGATGGCCTCAGCCAATCCCTGCAGCTCTTTGTGGAGTCACATGGCTTACAGCTTGAATCTCCTGACAACATGGCCCAGGAGAGCTCTGCATTAGTAACCGCTCTTGCTTGACAAATACTTGTGCGCAATCACTAAATACAAACGCATGTTTACACATACAAATAGAGGCAGAGAATCAGCCACCACACATGAGCAGAGTTTATACAGGAGGTACACGAATCCGCTAAACAAACAAACATAAACACACATGCACCCCTCCCCTGCACTCCCTACCTTATGTCAGTGTGCCAAGCCTGCCAAGCGGTGAATGACATTAATTATTTGCTTTCGGTCGCGGATAGAGTAACATGCAGGTGTGAGCAAAGTGACAGTCCATGGTGAGGACACACACACACACACACTCTATAATAACACCCTGCTGCACAGTGACTATTCCTGTAGTAGCTGCTTGTGTGTGGCTGCCTGTGTCCCGCCCTCGTTGCAATAAGGTGTGGTTTCACTCTGCGCTCTCTTTCTCTCCTCCTCTCCCCGTTCCCTCCCACCATTCCCTCTTTCTGCTTCAATCCGCTGCCTTTTTCTGTCCCTGTGCTTTCACACTGCACAGGATCGAACAGCGTGACGTCATGGCAACGCAGCCTACAGCTGCATCCAACGAGCAGGAAGGGCCGATGACAGAAGAGCCCCCGGAGAGGGGTGTGCGCTTCTGTTTGAGTGTGTGGGTGTGTGTGTGTGCTGATTCATTTTCTATGAGAGGGGGCAGAGGGAGAGAGAGAGAAGGAAAGAAAAGGGGGGGGGGGGCTATGTGGACAAACCAAAGAGCAGAGGAGACTTACAATTAGGTAAACCTACAAAACAACAACAACAACAAATAATATACTAAAATTATACTTTATTCACTGAGTTTATTGTATTTTTTCTGGGGTTATTACTTTTATTGCTAATTGTTCTTGTATGCATGTAGTATGACAGTTGTCTTCATAATCTTACAATACCTACTGTATATCCTTACAATGCATGCAAAGTATGTACCTCAAGAGTACGCAATGAAGTATGACAATGTACTGTATAACTCATCCACACATGTTTCCCATTTCAATGTATTAGGTCTGTTTTGTAAAGTCAGACATACTAAACACAATCAAAACACCTTTCAAATGTGTGGATTATTAAACGTGAAATTAGTCTGAAATACTAAACTCAAAAGGTTATATACTATTTGACTAGCTTTATAAACGTTATACTTGATATACACAAGTACCGCTGTGACCAAGACAGAAAGAAACAAATGAAAAGAATAAAAAGCCTGGGGTTAGTAGTAGTACCAAAAAAGAATTCAACATAACATTTTAAATAATGAAAAAACTAAAACAAACAAAAAGCATAATCAAATATCTAATCATGCACTATTTATCTATATTTATTTAAAAGAAAGCACTTTATAGTCTTTTTTTCCACCAATAGTTGAGTTGTTGATTGTGCTTTAATTCTCCAAATACTACTTTGTAGGTCTCTTAAAAAAAACACAAGTAATCTGTAGTTTTACAGATAATCAAACAAACTCAATTTCACTTCTGGTTATTAAGAATTGTTTTATTCAATTTGTAATTAATATATCCGTTTCATTATTGTGAAGAGTGAGATGCCTTCCTGGGAAATTATAATTGATAGGAATGCCCAGTACACTATACCAAAAGTCCTGTGAGCATTCCCATGGAAGCCCAGTATTTAGTGGCTCTGCCTCATAAAACTAATTGCATAGTGTTTGGTGTATGAGTGTTCACACAGATGACTTTGTATACAAAAATCCTTGTACGTATTCTGTATATTCGGTGTGTATATAGCAAATCATCAACAGATTTCAGAAGGACAAATAAGTATTTCTCCTCCCATCTGTCAGTCTGTCGTCATGCTTTAACCAGAGCCAGCCAAGTGCCTCCCTGCCCGGTCATGCTTAAGGCCATGTGATGGAGACTCCGTCCAGTTTTCTTTCTCACATTTATCACTTTTTCCCCTTTTCATTAACTGATTTATCCCTTGTCTCTATTTGTTCCCCCGTGATTTTTCTCATTCTGTCACACGCCACCTCCTTCCTTTCCTCCCTCTGTCTTTCCTTTTCCAGCAGATGCTCCCCAAAGAGAGGGTCCCCTCCCTCCCACCCTGCCCCCAGCTATTACTCCCTTAGCCCCTCCCCCTTCATTTTACCCCTTCACCCCAAAGCTGTGTTTTGTGACTTCCCTGTCCTCTCACCTTTTTGATTGTTTCTGCTGCCTCCCCTTCTTTTGTCTCCTTATCTACCTCATCTGTTCTGTTCAAATTCTCATCTCCTATTTTCTTCTTCATTGACTCCTCATCTCTCACCCCTGCTCACTCTCTTAGCTGCGAGACAACAAGCACATTATCCTGCACTGCCATCTTGTGTTCACTGATGGAAGATAAATAGCACTGTGTTGGTGCATGTTGAAGCTTTACTGCTGAGGAGGGAGAAATAACTTTGCTCAGCCTACTGTAATGGCATCAATACATTGTACTGATAATGTCTGTGGCAACTAAGCTGATATTTTGTCAAACAAATAAGAAAATATGTACATTTATTTTGCAGCTGACCAATGCTTCCATGCCAGCGAGTGGAGGAGTGTAGCATGAGGGAGGAAGAAGGGGGGGATTTGCTAAATAAAGCCTAATGCTTTATAAGCTCTGTTTTGGAGCTGGAGGAGTTTGAGCAGCCTGAATAAAAACACACTTATTTCATGTAATATGAAACGGATTAGACAATACGCTTAAGCTATAGGTCGGGATTACGCGTAACACATCAGAAAATGTTCCCATTATCACTATATTGACGGGGTTTAACTTCATTCTTTAGAAAAAGTATAAATCTAAATTAACCTAAATTCAGACATTTTTCAAACTACAAGAATGTAATCGCATTTAAAAACAATACTGCAAAGAGTCGTCATTTGTCACGTGTGGGCCTACAACCTCTTTTTAAAACACTTTTACCAATATTAAAAAAAAGAAGTATGTCTGGGGAAAATAACTGAAAACAAAAATCAGGAAGGTTGTGTTGCAACCTAATGTTTTTTTATTATTATTAAATAAAATATATATAAAAAAGATGACACCAATGGTGCTTTATATAGTTGAGAGATCAATTGAGTTTGAATCTTCCGAAATCTCATAAATAAGAAACTGTTACAAATGTAGTGTTCATGAGTGTCAGCTAAATGCTACATTTACTGTAATGTTATGAACTGTGCTTTTAATAGCATTCAAACAGTGCAGCCACAAGTCTTATTAGTGCACTTCAGCGTGTAAAATGGTTATTAACCCGTGATCTTAGAAGCAGAAGTAAAAGTCATGTTAGCCATGAAACACCTCTTTCTATTGTCACTAAGTGAAAAATAATTCTGTGTTTGAACTACATTGAAGGCCAGTATTTTCGATATGCAAACTCAATAGCATAAATGTTGTTTTGAATAAAGTGTATTTTTGAATATCTTGGGAATAAATTCATATAGTTCTCCATCTTTTTTCCTAGATCTCAATGACATTACCAGAGTGTACCCTGATGCACCTTCAGAGAGAACACACTGTGCAATGAACATGCAAATACAGAGTGTAAACGCAAACAAACATATCCATATCAACATGTTATTATGGCTGTAAAATATTGACAAGGTTGACATAAATGTTAAGGTTGATGGCTTCCTGTGGTACAAACAGCAAACTACTGCTAAAATACAAATAATGTGACCTCTATTCCTTATTTTCAAGTAAGATTCACATTCTATTTTTGAATGTACCTATAATGATGCGAAACCAGCCGGTACACAACTCCTCAGCCATTTAAAGCTCTCTCCATGGACCTGCGTGCTGTCACCTCAGTCAGACAGAGGGATATAACGGAGAAACTGAACGGAGGACGGAGATGATTCGCTGGAAAAGATAAAAGGAAGACGAGAATGAGGAGCAACCATGACTTTGCCGGACTGTTCACAGGACAAGCACGTACTCTGATGCCAGCATATACAATTAACAACTGAAAGTGTCCCGATGAGGGCGTACACACAACCGGGATGGAACACAACCTCTAGAGAATATTAATGTGGCTCTGTAGGGGAGACAAGTTGGCCATTGAAGGTCAAAACGTCCTTTACTGCAGTAAACACGCACATTTGTAAAGAAATACAAACAACCTTAATATTTTCCTTTGCTTATCTTCAGATAAAAGCAATGTGGTGTTGAAATGTCTGGTCACATTTTAAAATGCTGAAAATGAATCAGTGTACTTCAGTTTCTTTCAAACTTAAAGTGTGTTGTCCATAGTCAAAGAAGCATGTAAATATATTTTGGACAAAGAAAAAAACTAAAGTCATGTTTGATTGAATGTCATTTGAGAATTTAAGGTAGTACACTTTTAGATTTAATTTAATTAGAGAAAAGCACATTCAGAATTGGCAATTGCAGGTAATTATGAACAAAACTAAATTGGTTTACTTCCCAACAAGAACCCCAGATTAAACTCATCTGGCGCCATCTACTGTTCACTTTAACACATTGCAAATATCTGGAATATAGTTCTACTATACCTCTAGAAACAAACCCGTCTTCCACTTCTACAGCTGCTCTGTTTCATTTTTCGAGATCAGTACAGTCAGTGAAAGTTAGTCACATATATCAGCAGTTGTTAAAATCCCACATGATCATTTAACACAGTGAAAAAGAGATATCCAAGTCAAAGCCATTATTTGATTTTCCTGTATCAAGATAAAACATCCACACTATCAAATTCAGACTGGGTTACTGCAACACTAAACCCAGTGTAAACTATGAAAGCATCATGTAATACAGGTCAGCTACAATATTTTAGCTTTAAACTATAAACTTGATACCTGCAGGTGCAATATCACCAATTACATATTTTGATTTCATTGTCATAATTATAGATAGATAGATACTGTAGATAGATGGGTGACACCTACGTTTGTAAAATAGAATAAGGGCAAGGATCCTAATATATTAGGAACATTTTATAAATGCTCCAGTTGGCAAATACTTGTGAAAAATGAGCCAGATTACATCAAAAGCAGAAGATTCAAAATAAAAAAAGCAAATATGATTTCCTATCGTCATCCAATGTAGGCCTCTTGTTCCCTCTCTCCACCCCTATACCCTGCGTCTGTCTGTCTCCCTCCCATCCATACAGTCGGCAACCAAACTCTCTAACTCCCTCCCTCTGACCTACTTTCTCTCCACCTTTGCTCATGTCTCGCACCAGTGGGGTGCAGTGTTGCACTGCTCTGGCTATTTTTCAGCGATGTATTCTCTCTGCATCTGTGTTGCAGGTCCAGAGCTCTTCTAAGGACGAGCATACACGGCAATACAAATTCAAATGGGTCATCACTCTGTTACTGTATGAAAACATTTTAGAAGGGATAACTGTATGTTGGGGAAAACTGCCAGTATCATCTGGCAAGTGAAGGGGGGGATAAGGCATC